CTCTTTGGTTAGACTGGTCATCGAATCGAATAATCTGCTGTTGTTGTTGTTGTTTTATTTATTCATTATATATTTATGAGTGTTTGCGGCGACTCCAAATGAAAATTCAATTCATTCGCTTGTTAAACATGATTCTTGTCGTTGCCTGCAATTACGACTCTATATCCGCCTTTTCGGTGATTTCACAGAGGCGCCACACTTGCCACCCCCCAACTGACAGTGGCCGTTACTTATATCTACTTATATGAATATATATTTATTCCCATTACAACATTGTGTTTAGTTAGCAACTGCTTTGAGAAGTCATAAAGTAGATGTCTACATGAGCGGAATAACTAAATGAATGTCATGTAAGAACTCAGATATTAAGATACTTTGACAACAAAAGAAAATGGGAAGTTGAAGGAAATTTGGAAATTGTGTTGTGATTATATAAATAAAGGGGGTAAAATATACGAAAATAAATAAATTAGTAAATTTAAGAAGAAACAGTTTCCATCACTAAAAGTGTAGTTATTCTTTAAATGATAGCAGCCAGAAAATATTTGTTTACGCAAATCAATTTAAGTGCGCTTTGGCATCGATAAGCGTTTGTCGATTTTGGATGTTGTCCATTGATATCTGAGACGGCCGAGGCGCCTTTGTTGACCAACTCAATTAGCGGGGCATTGAGAGCAGTTAGCGTCGCACTAACAAAAAGAAAAAAAACTGACAAGACGCAGAGAAAAACTCTTAAACTACATTTGTTGGCCTGGCCGAGGTGCAAATTGGCAGTCAAACAAAGGCGCAAGCAGTTTGACCAATTAGCGTCCCCTGGCCCAACTGCCCCCTCTGTCGTCCCTTCATGGGTAAGCTGCTCAACAAAAGACAATCAATTACAAATTACTTGCACATTATTTAGTTACAAAAACTCACAAGTTAACAAGCCAAATATTTAAGCAGCGCTAAGCGCCGCTAGATGCGTTTTGGATTTGTTTTTTTCGATTTAGGCTGATGAAGTTGATCACGATCATGATGATGAAGATGATGATGATGATGATGAAGATGAAGTCGAAGAAGTGAAGTCTTGGAGTCTCTCTTGGCTCAAAGGCGTTGAGTCAACACAATTGACGTTTCGAGTTGACGGCAATGATGATGTGAATGTGAATATGAATATGTGAATGTATGGATATATGTGAATATGTTGGCGTTGACTTCTGCTTAAAATGTAGCCAAGTGTGGCTGCTGGAAATGCACGCCTGGCATTTGGAATGTTTGTTTAGGGTCTGAGACCAGTCAACCAACCAACCAACCAACCAACCAACCAACCAGCCAAGCCAAGCCAAGCAGCTCGTGTAGCGCCAGAGCGGGACAGGTTGAGAGATACTCACTTGAGAGATATTCACAGCAACTAACAGCTCACAATTCATGCGATATTGTAGAGGAGTCAAACTCAGCGCCTGTCTGTTGGCCATAATTGAGTGCACTTTCCATGGAACTCTGGCAACGATTATGAAATGCCAGCTCCAGCAGACTCTAGCTGCAACAGTGCAACACTGCAGCAACTATAAACTATCAACGCACAAATGGCGCACATCATACATTAAAAAGTTTTTGTGATTTCTGGCTTCTGAATGATATTGGGCGGTGGCATGGGACGAGGTTGCTGGTGATGGTGGTGGTGGGAGGTGGTGCATTTTATTATCGCATCGTAAATCAATTGATAAAGCGAAGCGGAAACAAGTGGCATCTCCAATTGCCCATTACGGGCAAATAAATCTACAAGACGCCGCAAAAACTTGTTCGACATTTACTAGATGCACAAAAATACACATAATTTGTATTAGTCATGCACTCGAAAAACACAACTTGTAGTTTAGATACATTTTGATACATTTGCAAAGCTTGAACATTGTTTGCAAATATCCAAAATTTGCATCTGATATGCGAAAATTCATTTAATAAATTGCAAAATTAATAGAAACACATAAATAAAATACAAATAATTATATTAGGTAATTGGAATTCCAATATAATAATAATAAATCGGAAAAGCAGTATAAATACAATCAAAAAGTAATTGCAATTATTTTAAAGTCAATAAATACTATGATGATGATATTCATATATAAATGAAAGTGAGAAATAGCAAATATTTTCAATATTTATACAATATATTCGAGCTCGAAAGATTTGAATATTGCTTTAAGAACACAAAACTCTAAGCAGTATTTTAGAAATCAGAATACCAATAATACTAATTCTTTTTGGTTATTATTTGTTTAGCAAGATTTGACTTAAGAAGAATCATAAGGAAGACACTACAAGGACAGTTGACTACATTATATATTTAGGGATAAAAGTGCAGTCTGGTTTCTTAACGTGTAGTTGAGAGAGCAGACGACTTTGTGCGGCCAGCAATTAATACGACAAACTGTAAAATGCCGCCTCGGAGTTGTAGGCAACCAAAAACGCAATTAGCGAAGGGGCTGCTGCCACGTGGCGATATCAAAGGGGAAGCTTGCCACCGCCAGATTTCTTTCGCTGCGCATAAATCACACATGTGAAGCAGCAGCAGCAGCAGAAGTACAGAAAGAGGGGGGCAGCGCCCACACAGTAAGTCAGCGCCAAAAGGGGGTAGGGGTGGTAGCTGGGAGGATGACGGTTGACTTATGTGGCAGGCACAAGTGCTACATATGGGGGTATAGTTTATTTGGTGGATTTTTAATAGCCGATCCTCATCGTCTACATTGTATGCGCTATTGAAATTCCTTCAAGTGAAATTTACTGTGTCACTTGGCAATTTCAGCTAATTAGATGTGATGAAAGTGTTTGCTTTGACTATCTATGAAATGAAATGACGAGTGCCAATTGCAGTTGCCGTTTCAGTTGCGGTTTCAGTTTATAGTTTCAGTTCCAGTTCTCGACGACCAGTTCGACAACCAGTTCATTTGCGACTTGCAATTGCAATTGCAATTGGCTAATTGGTTCATTACGCGCGCAAATGGATTTGCGCCTCTATAATACGCCTGATTTAAGCTGAGTAGGGGTGGTCTGGGGTTAGGGGTATGCCAGCCAGCCTGCTTGCCTGCCTGCTTACTGCCTGCTCACACATAATCGTATTTCTTTCATTTGCCCACAATTAGCGTTGGCATTAATTCATTTTATGTGCGCCGATCTCGGCCAAGATTTCACATCAGCATCAGCATTTCAACGCTTGCCAGTAAATGTCAGCTGCCAAACTGCCCCCCTTGCCACCTTTCTATACTCCTACTACTGCAACATTTGTCTATGCGAAGGCATTTTAGCAATACATTTTTTTTCTAGCATTTATTTTCAGCAAATTAACGCGCGCCACAAAAATCTGGGCTAATAAATCATTTGATGTTGTTGTTGTTGCTGCTGCTGCTGCTGCTGCTGCTGCTAGTTTTCATTTGATGGCAGCCGAGTTGTCTTCGTGTCACAATATTTGTTTATGTGAAGATTTGTTTTTAATTAAATGGCTGCACATCAAATCGTATCGAATGCTGTTGCCGTCAGTCATCCTTCGCACATAATCCCCTCCGCCTCCACATTCAGTCCCATTGTGCTGCTCTACTCATCCTAAGCCATGTGTGCTGTGATTGTGCAATTAGCGAATCAGCAGCAAATCCATCCTCCATCCTCCATTCCCAACCACAAACCCCATCACAGTCTGTTCCCAGTCTCACCCTCGACTGGTGACAAGTTTACATGATTTAAAGTTGCGACGGCGACGGTGGCCTTTGATGTGAATCCAAAGCCAAATCTGAATCCGAATCCGATGCAAATGCGAATGCGAATGTGGACATGTCGTTGTATGGAGGCGACGGCGCCTGTCTGTTGTTGGAGCAACATAGCCTATTAACCTGAATGCTGCCACCATATCACAGACGATTAATTCCGCTATTTTCATATGAAAACATGAGAAATGAGACAGCATTTTAAAGCGAGTATTAATTATCCACTCATTAAAGTTACTAAAGAGTTTATGATAATAGCCTAAGGCTCTCATATTAATACTGGAATAATAAAACAAAGCTCTAATTTGTCAGCTTAGTTCAATAAGTTATGAAAAACCGTGAATCCGGGTTCGATTCCATAGAGTTCAGTCTCAGCAAAAGGTTGTAAGGGTTATGGCTTTTTAAAGTCTTGTTAACCTATATGTAAAACATTTTAATGGCAATCCATGGCAAAGCCATCAAATACAAGCTTATAAATATAGTTTGAAAATTTGTGTTTGGGTCGTAAAATGTTACGTTTTAGTCACTGAAGTAAATGCTGTATGCAAATGTGGAATTTATACCCCGAACACGTGTATAAAAAAATTAGGCTAAATAATGTAAAGGAAGGAAGGTAAAAGGAAGGATCTCAACTCTGGAGATATTTCGTTCTAATGGATTACCTTTTTATTTTTATATAATACTGATCATCTCTTTAAGTTTCATGTAAGATCAGTTGAGGAACAAGGAAAACAATTTTATTTTCACATTTTCCCAATTAAGCAGAGACAACAGCCGGCATTTTCTTTATAGGTACAGGATATCTCCTAGCAGAGCTCTCTCAACCAGAACATTATTACGTGCTTTTTTTTCGACTTAATCCATTTTCCATTAAAGGCGCATTTTCGAAACAAAAATTAAGATTCATTTGTTTTTAAAAGTCCAACCAAAGTCGTTGAAAAAAGTATTCAACTCGTATTTTTTTCATTTTTTTTTATTGTTTTCACAGCCCGTCAATCGCTTGCCACTTATCGAAAACCATAAATTAAAAGATCGCATTAAATAATCTTTTGAAATAGTTTTTTATTTAATTCATTTTTTTTTTCAAGTTTTCTTGCTGGTGTTTTTTGTTTTCTTTTGTTTTAGCACAGGGATGTCAATAAATTGTTTTTTTTTTGTGTTTTATTTGGGTGCATTTAAATTTGTATTCATATTTCTTTCGTTTCTTTTTTTTTAAGTTTTTTCAGCGATAACATTTTCGTTTTAGCAGCTTAGAAACTAGAAATACTTCTTTTTAGTGTGTTTCATATTTTTTCTCTAAACTAGAAATTAAGCTAAAGAACTTTTAAATTACTTATAACATGTTAAGCATTAATATTGAATTATACATAAGTATTTGTTTGTTTTACTTTTTGTCTAGAAATAAGTGTAGATTGATAGATAGAGGAGTAAAATTGGGTTTTCTTGTTGAACTTTCGAGTGCAAAGCATTTAAGAAGCAGCTTGTTTCGAGCCGTAAGAAGGATAATAATACTTTCTATGTGGGTTAAATAAATACTCTCGTCAGCAAGAACTTAGATTAGAACGTTGAAGCTTATCAAATACAATACGATACGATACGATACGATACAATATAGATATAGTTATATGTATAGATAGTTGTATATTACAATTATATCACATGAACACTTTTGTACATCGCACAAAACTTTACAAAATCCATTTCCTTACATATTGCACACACTTGGAACCAGCCGGGAGTGGGGGAGTTGATGTGGAGATGAGGGGGGAGATGTGGAGCCTTCTTACGGTATCTGGCCGTTCATGCGCATCTCGAGCTCCTCCTCCTCTTTGGTCAGCGGCACCGTCGTATGATTGTACAGACCCTGGGCCATCAGTTGGAGGGCGAGGGGATTTTTCGATCCAGTCGACTTCTTGATTTTGGCTCGCTTATTCTGGAACCAGATCTTGATCTGTGCCTCATTCAAACCCAGCTCTCCGCTCAGCTGCTGGCGGCGTCTTTCGGTGAGGTAGCGATTCTCATTGAATTCGCGCTGTAAATGAGACAAACAGAAAGAGAAAGAGAGAGAGAGAGAGAGAGAGGTGAGATTGTGTGGATTGGATGCGCAATAAAAGAGGCAACTAGGGTCGGGTCAGGTCTGCAGAAAAACAGTACAACGTTATGAAGATAGGCACAGGGCTGAGGCAAATCAATTATTTGCGGTTTAGTTGAAAGGCGACGACTGTGTGGCACTGTGCGGCACTGTGTGGCAGGCAGTGTGTTGTGAAATATGAGCATGTCTAATTGGTTTAGTCGAGGACACTGTGGACGACTGGACGACTCGGTGCGGTTGCCAGGTCGCCAGGATGCACGCACAGCGGGACACCCACCGTAAAGTGTGTAAATATTTTGGCTATAAATATGACACAACAACTAACGAATTCCGCCTCGCTAGATACGTGTGTGTGTGTGTGTGTGTTTGGCTACATTAAGAATGTAATGTGCCCCAGATTTAATTTTCATTTTTTGCTAGATATACTTTCTACATTTTCTTTAAAGAAACATATTTTTAGTGAGTCGAAATTTAACACTCTTTTTAGCATATTTAGAAAATGTTTTGGAAATATATTAAATATCCAATTTGTAATGATATCTGTTCTGCTTTGTAGAGTTGTAAAAATGATATACAAAAATATGTAACAAATATGCACAACACAAATTAGAAATAACCTTTCTAAACTTTCTAAAAAAAACCCCCATTCTATTTCAGTAATGTTAACCCTGTTTTTGACAAGACAAAAGTTCTTCTTTTGATAACAAAGAGTATATAGATCTGCTAGATTCTATATCCCTACTGTATATGGTATTGGGTGTGATTGTGATGCTTACCTTGAGGCGTGCCAACTGTTCGCTGGAGAAGGCGGTGCGTGGACGCTTCTCGTCATTGGTCTTGTCCTTTGGTTGCTTGGGGCGACGATAGCGGGGTCCTGCAAGAAGCCAAAAAAAAAAGAAAAAAACGAAAAAAGCAAATAGAAAGTTAGCATATTTGAATATAATCCCACATACTTATGTCTGCATATAATTAATGATATTAATGGTTTAATTAGCATATATATACTCGTGGTATGTGTGTGTGTGTGTGTGTGTTGAAGTTGCCTCGTTGCTTTCTCAACGAACGTTGTGGCATGCAACGTGTTCAATTTGTCAGCTGTCAAACTGGCGTCTAACTAACGAACGACAGGCAGACATGGAGAAGCCAGTTTCGGGGAAGGAGCGCAGGGAGAGAGAAATGAGAAACCATCGTTGGCCATTTTGCGAGGCAGACTTTAATTAATATGATGAGCGTTTGGTCGGAGTGCCAAAGTTGAACAGGCCTGAAAACAGCTAAAGCTGCTCGGCTCAAAAGCCAAGATTGAAAATGACTCAATAAACGCCGAGCTGCCAACTAAATAACTAGCTGTGATATTTAGCTAATTGGCAATGGAAAAAAAAGGTTTCTCCCTCTCTCTCTCTATTGGCCACTTAATTGCCAGTTAGACGATTGTTAAATGCTGTTAATTGAAAATTTAGTCTTGCTTATTTCTCATTTTATTTTTTTCTCTTTTTTGTTGTTGATTTGGTTTTGGTTTTAACACATTGTAAATTATAATTTAATTGCTGGATTGCTTAGATAATTTGTTTAATCTCGCTGCGAGTAATCGTCGGCTATCAACGCCTTGTTGTTAGTTGTAGTCTATCGACTCTTTCTATATACGATTCCATCGACACCAAATTAAAAACCCATTTCGAGTCATAAAAAAGCACTTAACTTGTCAATTAACGCATCGCAGTAATAACACACTCTCACACACCAACACACACACACACAACACACACATGCGTAAAGAGAAAAATGATTTTTCCTTTTCCTCGACGGCTTCTAGTCTTCTGTTTTTCTGTTTCTCTGATTTTAATGGGCACTCTCGCAACGGGGCTCGTCAATCGTCAGCGCATTTGAGTGTCTTGCACCAAAATCAGAAATTCGTGACCTGTGACCTGTGACCTTCGAACCGATACATGTTGTCACATAAAGTGTCAGCAACAGCAGCAGCAGCACCAGCAGCAGCAGCAGCAGCAGCAGCAGCAGCACTGCGTGCGGCCAAAAGCGGAAGGCCTCCCTCCCTCCCTCGATCCCTCCCTCACACCATACAGAAGAAGAAAGCAAAAAGAATACTCTGCCGACAATTGACAATTGACAATTTAGAATTGAGCCTTTGGATTGGGTCTCGGACACTGTAATTGTTGCAATGTCCTTCGGCATTTTATGACACACAACAAACCGATGAGGCAAGCATATGAAAGGCTGCCGCTCGCATTGGGGGTGGTCCCTGCCTCTCTCACTCCACAAACAACAAATATCATTGGCGAGTCTTGTGACGGCCATTTGAGTGTAATTTATAACTAGCTGTAGTATGACAGACTTAACAAATAAGCAGTTGAATTATTGATGCATAACCTCTGTAGAGTCTCCATATTAGATAATAATAATATGGATAATAGATATAATCGATCAGATAACTAATTGCTTGAGTGCATGAAATCTATGTTATTATATTAAACGAGTTGCGTTAGTTCAAATTATTGATTTACAATTCCTATTAGCTAATGCCAGAATTTCAGAATTTCAGAATTTTTTAATTTGCAACACTTAATGAAAATTATAAGTTATAATATATAATATATTAAATGTTATATTTTATACTTTTATATTATAATTTGCTGAAAAACTTCTTTGAAAGCAAAAGGCTTCGGGTTTTCTTGCTAATATTTCTCATTTAATTAAAAGAAGACTTTAAATTTGAACTAAACAATTGAAATATGCCGCAATTTAGACTACATTTGTGAAATGGATCTAAGAATATATTCTAACAGGAGTTTAGCTCAAGGACAAATTTAGATATTTATAACGAGCATCATCATATAAATCCTAACCCATAAAAAAGTATCTCGAATCTTTTATATACATTTTGGATATACACACCTGAGCTGGGACGATCGCTGTAGCGGGTGCAGTAGACCCACGCTGGCCACATCTCGTTCTTGCCGCCGTCGGTGGTTGTGGAGCCCGTCTCGGAGCGGGTGTCATCCGAGGATTCCATGCCCGAGTCTCGACTAACCGCCGAGGGTGGTGGAATGGGCTGGGGACTGTTAGCGGCATTGGCGCCACCTCCATTTGCCAAACGACTGCTGGGCGAGGAGTTCAGCGAGCTGGTCGACGAGGAGCAGCCCGATGAGGAGGCGCCACTGCTGCTGCTGCTGCTGCTGCTGGCTGCTGCGGAGGAGGAACTACTGCTGCTGCTGATGGTGGAGGCATTCGAGGCGGGCGGTGGACTGGCCAAATGACAGGCGCTGCTGCTGCTCGAGGATGCGGCACCAACTGGTGTCGTCATCGCCGTCGTCGTCGTTGACTGGCCGATCTGGGAGACCGTCTTGCACAACGAGCCCAACGCGGACTTCTCCATGCCACCCGACTCCAGCTTGGCCGTCGGCGGCAACACTGCATTGGGATTATTGTTGGCGGCACTCCGTCGCAGGCGACTCTGGACGAGCTCCTCGTGGATGCGCGGATAGGCGGCGGGATTGAAGCAGTTGAGCAGATTGGCTCGCTCCAGCATCATGGCTGCTGTGGCCGCTGCGGCGGCTGCCTGCTGCTGCTGCCTGCTGAACTCCAGCAGATCCACACGCGTGAAGGCGGAGGGCGTGGCAGCTGCAGCGCGACTCGCCTCAAAGGGGCGAAAGATGAAGGATGCCGCTGCTGCGGCAGCCGCCGCCGACGAGGAGGAGGATGTGGAGGATGAGGTAGAGGAGGAAGTGGATTCGCCTTGCTTGCATTGCTTGGCAGCATCGCCAAATCGATCGCTGAGTATGTTGGAAATGGAGAAGGCCAGCGATGGCTTCGATTGTTTCGACTGCTGATGAGCTGGCGGCGGCGGCGGCAGCCGTGCGGAAACCGAAGCCGTGTCATCCACATCAATGTCATCGTCCTCCTCCTCATCGTCCTCGGTGGCCGTCGTATTGGCCGTCTGATTGTGGAAACTATCGCCCATTATGGAATCGTTCTCCTCCTCCTTGATGATGGTCAGCGTGGAGGCGGGCGTGGAGCAGGCGCCCGTTGACTGGGCACCCGGCGAACCGCCCGCACTCAATCTCTGCTGCAGTGCAGCCGCATGCAGAGCAGCCGCATCAAAGTTGGCCGCCGGATGATGAAAGACGCCGGCAGCCAATTGCTGCTGATGCAGTTGCTGCAACTGTTGCAACTGGTGCAGATGTTGCAGTTGCTGTTGCTGATAGAGCGAGGCAGCTGTTGCCACAGTGCCCGGCTGCAGGCTCATATCTAAAGCTGAGATTGCGATGGGTAACGAGTGAATCACTTGATGTGGATGCTGCTGCTGCTGTTGCTGTGGATGCTGCTGCGGTGTTTGTGGTTGACAACCTGGTGGACTGGGCGCTGTTTGTGGACTGCAGCGATCCTCAAGTGCCATTTGTTGTTATCACTTTTGTATATATGTAACAATTTGCAATTTCAATTTGTTCTTCTTTGGATTTATTCTTCACTTCACACGAAAAATGCACTTTGCGGTTTGTTTGATTTGATTTGATTTGCGTTCGTTTCTCGTTCTCGTATTTTTCTTGTTGTTTTGTTTTTTCTTTCAACTTGCTGTTGCTGTTATTCCGACAACTGCGACGCGCACGTCTGTTCCATGCGAGCTCAACGACTAAATTAACTAATCACAGTTGGCCGTCGCTGCGACGAAGCCAGCAGAAGCAGCCAAAGCGAACGATTGAACTGTCAGCGACAGAGCGAGATGGACGACAACTGTGCTGCCTGTCTGTGTGGCTGTGTGTGTGTGTGTGTTCGAGTTCGGGTTTGAGCATGCGAGCGAGCGAACGAACGAGCGAGCGAGCGAGAGCGAGAGAGAGCGAAAAGTGTCTCTCAATGTTTTCTATGCGGTGACAGTGACGAAGACGTTGCTCAAACTTCGAATAACTGTTGAACTGATCGATTGGCAGAGCTCTGCTCTCTCTCTCTCTCTCTCTCGCTCTCTCTGTGTTGGTTTTGTTGTGACACTCGACATTGTCACCTGTAATCTGACAGCGAGACAATGTTTTCCAGTCAGCGCACACTGCAAGAGCGAAGAGCCAACTGCGAACCGGTTTGCAGCAATTGAGTATTGAGCAAGAGGTTTGTGCTTGCTCGCTCGCTCGCTCAATTTTGATTGCTGGCCTGCTCACTCCGCCTTCGCCACAACGACAACGACGACAACGACAACGACAACGTGACACGAGAGCTTGGCTTGGCTTGGCTTGGAGCTCGCGCTCGCTCGCTTGTTAGAGCTCGATATGACTTTATTATTGGGAGCTGTCATGCGGTTGACAACTGTGTCGCTGTCTGCGTCTGCGTCTGCGTTTGCGTCGCTGCTCTCTCGCTGGCTGATTGGGGCGTTGCCTGATTGTATTTATATATATATGGCTGGCTCGCTCGCACACACATGCGCATGCGAAGGAAAATGGCTGCGTTTTGTTGGTTTTGCTAGTTGATTTATCAAAGCGCGCTATCTCTGTCTCTGCCGAAACGGTTGAGTGATGCTGACCCACTCCCCCTTCACCCAACCCACACCTACACTATTCATATATAAGCATTTAGTTGTGTTGATTGTTGTTTTTGGCCGCAACGTTTCAATCTGTGTATGCGTGTATGTGTGTGTGTGTGAGTGTGTTGCCTGCAACAACTTTATCGACACCCAGCAGCAGAAAATGATCGACAACCGGCCGAGGCGGGGAGAGAGAGAAAAAGCCGATATTAATTGGCCACAATTTACATACAATAACAAATTTAGATATTTATCTAAATCGAAGTATTTATTCATTTTTATTTATTATGAAATCACAATTCATTTCATTGCAATTCGATTTGATTGATATTTAATTGATTTTTAATTTATTTTAATACTCCATCGAACTCGTATTAAATAAACATTTATTTTTTTACTATATCTGCCCCGCTGCCAACGAAGCGTAGCCCATTAGCGTCTCCATCTCAAAAAAATGAAGCAAAATAAATAAATAAATTAACTTTCGATTTGGCATTGATCAACAACAACAACAACAATAATGCTCTAATCAAAAGTCACATCTACAAAAATGTGAAACATGTGTTGGCCAAATATTACATTCATAGCTCCTAATATATGGCACTTAAATCAAAACTGATTCAAAACAAATAAATTAAGCATACACGATGATAAAAATATTCAAATCGCTAATGAATTTCATTATTATTGGTATTTTACTGCCAATATTTGACCAATGAATTGTGTGCGGAATTTGTGATTTATTCTGTGATTAGCTTAATATCGAATATCAATTTCGAGTTCGAATGGAATGCTTTCCTGTTTGCCGTTTGAAATGTGCCACAAACGACATAATCAAAACAACAAAAGGCAAACGCCCAACAAACAACAACAGCATCTCTTCTATTTATTTAAAAAATTTGTTGAACCTGTTTTGTTTTGTCAATCGCACGATTGATGTAATTTTTATGCGCATTTTTATTTGAATTGAAAACATATTTGAACAGTATTCGAAGACGTTTATCAAAATATTGTCAAATTAATTAAAAAGCGATAAGCGATAGGCACATTAACCGTTTCGGAGTTAACCGTTTCGAAAGACTCGCACACTTCCAGTCCCGTTTCGGCAGTCAGCCATTACGCGCGCGCCCACTGGAATATCGAAAACATACACATACACACACACACCAACACACACACAGACACAAATTCGAACTCGACGCACACACAGCTAGCTGACTCGCTCTCGCACACGGACTGTGAGTGCGCTCTCTTCATAGCAATGGCTGCTGCTTCTGCTGCTGCTGCTTGCCGTCGGCTCTCAGCTGGGCAATGCGAGCAGCTGTTGATTTTTCCCTTTGCAGTCCCTCCACCTTAACCACAGCCCTTCCCCCTCCTCCAGCACCTTTCTCTTTCGGTTACGTTTTTATATTGCGATGATATTCAATTATTACTGTTGTCATGTTTGTTTTGTGCATTGCGGGTTGGCCACAAAGGGTTAAACAGCCGCCGACAGTTGCGTAAAAACGCGTTAATTAAAGTTTTTAACTTGTTTTTGATTACACATGTACTTGTTTTTCTTCTTCTCCTTCTCCTTCTCTCTCTCTCTTTTTTTTTGCTTTGTTAACGATGCTTAGAAAGAGAAACGAGCTTAGGGAGTTGTCAGCTGCTAATGAGCTAGCCACATTCCCCTCCCCCCTGCCTCTCTCGCTCACTCTTTTTTCCCATTTGGCTACTGTTTTTTTGTTGCCTAATGATTTGGTATCTGTTATAAATTGTTGGCTCTAGGCAAAAAATACAAAGAAAATAAATGAATGCCCCCAAAAACAAAAAGCGAGTGCAATTCACAAACGGCAAATGAACTGCACTCGGCTTACGGGTATGTTAATCTTAATTGCGGCAACAACTCAATTTGGCCAACGACACTTCCAGCCAGCAAAAATCACGTTTGTAATTAGCGCCAGCATATCTCATCTTATTTTATATATGCAATTTTTGTCCATCTTCCCAGCCAACAAAACAAAAACTAAAACAGAAAAAAACAGAAAAAAAACAAATGTCCGACACTGCGCCCTTTGGCGGTCAGCGATGCTAAACGGTTTCTCTATTAGTGTGTGTGCGTGTGTGTTTGTGTGTGTGCGTGTGTGTGGGTAATTTAAAATTCATATTTTAGCCACAGCAAGAAACGCGTAAATCCGTGCATTGGACTTGTGCTGAGTGCCAGCGGATGGCGGCAAGAGTTATTAATGATGTACAGCATCATCATCAAGACCCAACAACACACGCAACACACACACACACACACACACACACATATACACACACATACATATATGCACACACATTAGCATTAACATATACACGCAAAGAATTTAAAGACTGCTGATATAGTACAAGAAATTGTAATAACTGTTCTTATAACAGCTGCCAATCAAAGCAGACAAATTTGAAGATATTTTACTGCCTGAAAGTAATATTATTATTAATGAGTTTGGCTAATCATCGCAGCAAATGCTGTCATTACTCTGAGTCACCTGCAAACCATCATAATAAAATAATAATTATATAAGGTTATAGTAACAAATTATAGCAAATTATAATAAATTATACATAACTCTAGCAATATCAATTACTTAACGTTAGATTTTAATTAAGATGTCCAATGATATAGAATGAATCGACAGATATACTGAAAAATCTTTCGATAAATTAGTTTTCAAATAATATTTACCTCAGCAAAGAAAGTATGAAATATTTTCGTGACTTTTAAATTAAATATTTCAACTGTCTTCAGAAATAAGAAAAATAACTGTTTACAAGCTTAAACACTTAAAGAAAGTGATCATTAAATAGTCTACTTTACACTTTAAAAGTCATACAAATTCATGTCAATATAGGCTTTAAAAATCATTTTAAATTTTCCTCAAAATACATTTGTTATTGTTGTTGCTGTTGTTGTTGTTGATGTCGCCTTTGGTGATTTTAATGCGTTTAGGGTTAAATGTTAATGAACTTGTTGATTATAAATTTGACTACTTTATTTGCCAACAAATAGAAGAGCAGCAATCAGATGCGAAGAGGAGCGATGAGAAACGAGGCTTGAAACGGGTTTTTGTCGATTCGCAAGAAATTGTTATTAGTTTATGAACAAATGGACCCCTCGAGTGATTTGGACTTTAAAAACATTTTCAGCTTGGCTCTTTTACGAGTATTAAACAATTCTGAATCCGTTTTTATGTGCGACCAAAATGAAAAGTTATAAAAAGATATGTATATATATAACCAAAGTAAGCAAATAAACCGAGAGCCATATATTCTTTATGACTTCATCACTTTGGGGCAGACACGAATTTGAATGCGTTGGCCAGTTTATCAATTTGGCCAACGGCAAAAAAAGAGCGAAAAATGAGAAAACAACAACGCAACATGTTTTCAATCAATTAACAGATATTTAATATGCGCTTGCTGTTGCTGTTTTTTCCTGTTTTTTTTTTAATTTTTTATTTTTTTGCTGTTGAGTTTCCGTTGCAGTTGTTTTTGTTGTTGTTTGTTGCTGTTAAACAAACTCGAGCTGCGGCTTTAATTTGCGGTTGTAATTCACCAAAATTGCTTTTCTCAGCTAATTTGTCAATTTGCCTACGCGTGGTTTTTGTTGGGCATCATTTTTTTTTTGTTTGTAGCTGGCTCGTTAAAGTCGTTAATTGGAAGCTAATGTTGAAGATTTGCTTAATATCTTACTTTATTGTTTAAACAATTTGCTCAATTTGCACTTTCGTTTCCTGATTTTGTTGTTGATGTTGTTGACGTCGCTGAAATTGAAATTGAAAGTTAACATTTTGGCATTGTGAAAGCGTAAGTTCAAATTATATATAATTAAACATAATCATAATGAAAAGAAACCTTTTTTAAAGTCACATAATAATAGATTAAAAAATTAATGTTATCTAACATATTTAGTCGAATAATTATTCAATTACATGTTAATCACCATGATATAAATACAATTTAAAGAGTCATAGATGAAAATAAATT